AAAACATTAAATGCAAAAGTTGATCAAATATTAAACGTATTAATAGAAAAATCAGGGATTTATCATTTATAAGTCTTCTCCTTCAAAAAATAGCCAAATCACATCAGGCATACGTTTCACACAAGAATTTATATATACAATGTAATGTATATGCAATTTATATATATATATATATATATATATATATATATATATATATATATATATATATGAAATGGACAAAGTCCTACAATTATTTCAAGACATTTTTATGTTTATACGTTCTTTTATAGATACAAATATTTAAGTAAATGCTCTGCTTATAATAAACAGTATTAACGACATTTTCTATGAAGATTTCTCGGAAATTCAGGCCGATTAATATCCTTAATACTTTTTATTATAAGCAGATCAATTTACTTAAATATTTATATTTATAAAATAAAGTATAAACATAAAAAATGCCTTAAAATACATATATATGTAATGTCATCCACATACAGGCCTGTATCACAGCGTATCAGTGCGTCTAGAGATCTCATTGCTTCAAGCCAGGATCAGTCGGACTTTCAATCCCTGAGATATCAGCCCACGACAGAGGCAAAGGAAATGGTAGCATATTATTTTTACGAATGTAAACGCACATCAGGCAGCCACAGTGCTCAATTGATTTAATGAAAAGCGTTCTCTCTCTCTCTCTCTCTCTCTCTCTCTCTCTCTCTCTCTATATATATATATATATATATATATATATATATAATTTCTTGAAAATAATTACTTATTGCAGGAGATGTCTTTATTAATTTGCTATTTTAAATTTTCATGATTAATTGTTTTTTATTAAAATTTAAAGTGCATCCTAGTATTTTAAATATTCTACAAATGCGCCTAGCAGTAAAAATAAAAAAGGGTTGAGAACAGTTTTAACCCCTATTAAATAAAATATTATAAATATTAAAGCGACTGGTGCCCCCTGACGCACTAAGGCACCCTTTAATGTAGCTAGATGCACCCCAAGTTAATAAAAGAGTAATTAATTAATTAGTTTTATATTTAACAAATCATTATTTTCAAAAAGCAAGAGATACCGAGAACATGGCTTCCATATCTAAGGCAAGTATTTATTATTTGATATTTTGAACTGGATGTTCAAATTCTTTAATCTTCCTAATCCTTCTCATTTGCCTTCTTCTAGGGATTTCATTTAGTCATTATCGGCCTCTCTTAAAAATAGCAGATTCTTCATGAAAACCTTTGAATGTAAACTCTACTGCTAATCTTCTTCGGGAATTTTCAAATTTCATGACTAAATTTTCCTTATTAAAATTTAAAGTGCGTCCCAGAGTTTTAGTTATTCTACAAGTGCGCCATGAAGTTTAAAAAATGTTTCAGAAATACTGGTCTAAGAAAATTCTTTATACAAAAGCTGCGAACGCTAGAAATGGCGCGAACGGTCAGCCAGCCCGGCCAGCGGGATTGCGAGATTTTATAGCGAAAAGAGCAAAATGCTGTGACTATCGGAGCCGAATCTGGTCAATGAAGGTGGTGAGGCCACTATATTCACACGTGAATAAAGGTTTTGAGATAATCTTTCAATAAATCCTACCTCCGATAGCACAAGCGGCCGGCGTGTTACGACAGCGCAACTGTTATCGTTAGATAAATTAAAAGCGGCGACCCGAGTTCAAATGACGCCTTCGTCAGTGCATCTAATTTTGCACATATACACTTAGGAAAGGCATAAGATTTTGATCTTTAGCTTTGTGTGAAAACCAATGTAATTGAAGGAATATTTTAGATCACAACCATGAGCCTGGGTCGGGAGCAAACACACACACACACACACACACACACACACACACACACACACACATATATATATATATATATATATATATTACAAAATTACCTCAACATGGGACAGTCTATTTCAAACCGTTCTTCACACGGCTATCATCAGCCTCTAAGTCTGTAGTATATATATATATATATATATATATATATATATATTTATATATATATATATATATATATATATATATATATATATATATATATGAAGACATATACTCTTAAGGTGTGTTATATTTATGGGATAAAGTGCTCAATATCAGAGACAGAGCTTGTGTAAATATAAAAGTGAACATTGAAGTCAACAGGCTGTTATTCTTATGACGCAATCGTCAGGCCATATATATATATATATATATATATATATATAAATATATATATATATATAATCTAAATAAAGAGATATATTATATATTATTTATTATACATATGCATACGTTTACAGTAAGCATATGTGTAATTATTAATACACACACACGTATTTGGTTAGAGTGTGCCGGGACTAATGGTAGCTGCCTCTGTCCAGGGGATCGCAGGTTCGAATATGTGCCGGTGATCGCAGTTTTTTCTTGAGCATTCTGTCCGGTAGACGAAAATAAATATGTTGTTTAATATATAAATGAAGCCTTTACTCAAATACGAGTATCCACTAATAATAACGTTTAAAGTAATAAAAAAGATATATATGTAGGTAAATGTCAGTGGTAAATAATTATTAATCTAACAGTACGCTAATAGACGATGATTTGCGAGATCATAGACGAGAAGACGAAAGAACGCGTAAAACTAAATTAATAGCAGGACCTCATCCGGGATTTGAAAAAGCTAGCTTACATGCTTGCAGTACAAGTTGGTAGGAAGATAAAAGAAATTCCTCTTTCTTTACAGTTATCTTTCGTTTTGATAGTGTCACTTTTTGCTCTTGAAGTCGATGATACGTATGCAGAATGAATATGTGATAAGCAGACGGAAATCCAAAGAAAATGGAAGACTATTTTAAGAATTGAAAGATAAATGGTCTGAGGCAGAAATGTTGGAATCGTTCTTGCGATATGTGGACAGAAAGCATATCTCTGAGATTCTTTGGCGATATCCTACAGAGTCGGGAAATCAGAAATGTGTAATTGATATTCGAAAATGATGAAGTCCAGTGTACGTATACGAAGTCGTGCAGGGAAAGGACTAAAGTAGACAAAAAGACATGCACAGATAATGTCCTCAAGGGTGATGATTGCAAGAGGAACATCATGACCCGATATTATATGCGTTCGATTTACGTAAAAAGAATGAGAGTTCTAGCTCAAGTAGTGATTGGAAGATTTTTTTTTTTTCTTGCATTTCCATGTACAAAAATTCAGAGAAGGAAGTGAGGGAAAAGAATGAATATTTATAAAAATAAGGATAAGAAAAGGCAAGAGAAGCGGTTTGAAAGGAAATTGAAAGGATCGAATCGAATAGAAGAAAGAAGAATTTTAAAAAAAAGAAAGATAAGGGAGACTGGAAGTAGAAGGATGAAAAGTTAAAGATGTAAAAACCAAGTTTATCTGCTATTTAAAGCCGAAACATAATTGTTATCCTCCCCTCCTTTTATTATAAGCTACCCCTAGAGGTAACCCTCTTCTTCGAGTAGCCTTGGAACTTGCATAGGGGTCTCCTGGGTAAGGCGATAAACTACATCCGCGTCCTGGGCAAGACGATAAACTACATCGGACAGCAAAGCCTCTGATCAGGAGGTTTTGAGGAGCGTGGAACCACCTCTTAATTACTGGTGTTCCCAGGTACACCCTGACCCGGAATGGTAGCATTTGTTAGGATCCCAACTCTGGGAAAATAGTTAACCCCAAAAATGGGGTAAAAACAGTATGAAAGTGTAAAATAGGTTTTAATAACAGTAATCAATTTTTTGAGGAAAATTATTACCAGCAATGCATTATGATCAGCAATACTTTTTTAAAGAAAATAAATATTACCAGCAATACATTTTGAAAGAAAAAATATTACCAGCAATAAAAATCTTGTCGGCGTTAAATAACCTATTGAGGTTGATATGCCGAAGACAAGACCAAACCAAACCTTGTATAGGGTGAAACTTACTATAAAAAAATGAATTGTAAGAGGTTGTGTGTGTGTGTGTGTGTGTGTGTGTGTGTGTGTGTGTGTGTGTGTGTGTGTGTGTGTGTGTGTGTGTGTGTGTGTGAATACTGCAGTAAAAATATTTTTAGAATAGCAGAGATTTTTCGAAATACAATTACAACTATTTAATCCATATTTGGGGGAGATTGATTCATAAATTCTGCATCTCCCCTAAGTGTTTCTTCCTTCTGCCAAACCGTTTTTGCATTTGAAAGCAACTGTCACCCTTGAAATTTTATGGTCTTAGCCCTAACTCCTTTTTCATAATTCTCCTTATTGAACCTATCCGAAATATTCACCTCTTTTACTATCTTCCTCATACTTCTTCATGGCTTTCTCTTCACACAATAGGAGTAAAAACAAAACATGTAAAAAAAAAGTGAATAAACCTTCATGTAAAGTCATCAGTCGTCAAGGAAAATGGATTAGACTGGGGCTCCATAGCTATGGATGCAGCCAATCCAGTGATGAGACGGCATTGCTGAGAAAAGGCCTTTTCAGACTGATGTTAATGATCAGGGTGGAGCGTTACCCCCGATAGAATCAACAATCTTGAAAGAGGGAAGTGCTCCGTTACTTCTACTTGTCTCAGACGCGCTATGCATAATGAATAACTCTCCGACATTCAAACCCAGATATGTTGTGGGAATTGATCAGATGCGCAACTGCGCAGCTATCCTACGGCCATAACCAGTAATTGAACTGATGATGATGATGATGATGATTCTTTGTAGTTCCGGGTGAGAGGTAAACGAGAAGAATTAAGAAACGCTAGGACAAAAAAGTTGATGACTGGCCTTTTACCATACTGGGAAAAGCTCAGTCAGTCGAAAAAAGAAAAGATGGAGCATTCTAAGAGACGCAAAAGTCACATAGAAAATCGAACATACAAAGCAAAACAAAGCAAAGAAAAAAAAGAAAGCAAAAAAAAACAAAAAAAAAAAAAAACACTGAGGGAATTAAAAATAAGAAACGAAAAGAAACAACCAATCGGGACACTTTGCACACGTAACTATTTCTGAAGCGGTTCCCATGACAACCAGAGAACAAAAGAAAAGGGAAAGCGGAAAAAGATAAACCAAATGAATGAATCGAGAAGAGAAAGAGAGGGTGAGACGCAATGATAAAATAATAGAATTATAAAAAAAAAAAAAGTGGCGGGAAAAAGATTTGAGCGGTGTTGGAGGGTAGGGCAATGATAAGGATGTGATCAAAGGTTTCCAATTCGTGTTGGGATATTGAATGGGAGGTGTGGGGTTAGCGAGGAAAAGAAAAACAGAAGGAAGGAAAGGAAATTGGAAAAGAAAGGGATAATCATTAAGCGAATGATATGTAGACATAGGACACGGAAATAACTTCTAAATCACTGGCAATAAACGGTCAGTCTACATCGTTCACTAAATATGTAAGCCGTAGCGTGCACCTAAAATTAGGCACTAACTAGCTAAGTTGGCGCAAAGTGGTGTTAAAAATACCGTATAATATATAATACTATATATTATGTTATATACAGAGGGTAAATTTCTGTACGTATGCTTATAATAGCTAATACTTTAAAGTAAACAAACGTTAAGACACCCAACTGATTGCACGCAATTAATTTCTCTAGATTTATCCTGCCCGATTTGTAATAAAGTAAATAGAAATAGGTCCGAATTAGCTGGATATGTGAAATGGAAAGCCAAACAGTAAATCTTTTCATGTCTTTCTTTTTTGTAGTCTTCCGGGCTTAAGTGAGATTAGTATTATAGTTATAGGTCACCTGTACATATTTCGTTAATCTTGATTTTACTCAATTTTTAACAGTCTTATTTTAAATTTCGGAGCGTAATAGTTCAATTTTTTTCCGAAGAATTTTATTTTGTATATAATTTTAAACAAATGAAAATATTTATGTGACCTATATGATTTACTGTAAAATTAGCGTAATATGTTACATTACAAATAATGATACTCGATGTACGAATTTACAGCAGACTTCATATTTGCTATTAAACACGAAACATACATTCCAAATGTAACTCCATCTCAGTCATGCTGGAGGAAGCATTTTCTGATTGACCATGGTTTCAGGTGTGTAACTATAATCCCCACGCTTGGCCAATTGCTATTTAACCCATAGTTGGGAGGGTTGAATTCAGAGTTGTCCTTCTGATAGAATGATTGCAATTCAGTCTGTCCAAATATTTACACATTGCTTGGGAGAGAAGCGATGAATTCATAGCTTTCTGACATATGCACACACACGCACGCATACACACACAGACAAACACACACACACACACATATATATATATATATATATATATATATATATATGTATGTAGGTATGTATATTTATAAATGTAAAGACAATAGTTTGAAACTGAAACCAACTACACTCTTCTGTCCTGAGATATCATATTATATAGAAATAATAACGAACTCAATTTTGACGTTTACAGAAAGGCTACAAACAAAAATGATCTGGACAGTTTCTACTCAAACCACTCTTCTAAAATTAAATTTGGAATTATTATTTCTATCTAAGAGCATTAAGAATCTGCAGTCCCGAATATTTACTTAAAGAAGAAACACACATAGAAAACATATACAAAAACCTACAATACCCATATCATTTCATCCGCAACGCAAGAATAAAGGCATACAAAATATATAAGCGAATCAAAAATAATAACATAATTCGCAAAAATAAATTACATGAAAACAGATACATTTATGAGCACAAAAGAGACCTCACTAAAAACTAATTAGCTAATGCACTAGTCATACATAGAAATAAATTCAACAACAATTTTGATTTTAAAAATGCTACAGTCATAAAAAAAGAAAATAACTCACTCAGAAGGAAGATCCTCTAGAGTGCCGCCATTGAATATTACCCAAATATTAATCTACGCCCAGGCTTTTTCCCTATTTCACCTTTCTTAACAGAATTACAACTCCCCCAAGCAAACGTACACAACAGTATCATGAAATCAAAAGGAAATGGTCGAATCCGTCAACACAACAATAAAAACAATATCTCCAAACGTGACAGTACTTGACGTAATTTTCAGTTAACAGTACGAAAATAGCATTCTCCAAATTCTTCCAGTTTCTAAGGACATTTTGTTTTGTTATTATTAGTTACTTTGTTTAATAAATTCATTTCGTTGTTGCTTTGAAAATGCCCACATTGGACGAAACGCGTCGGCTAATATTACAGTTCTATTGTTTTTACATTTATAAATATGTCTTTTACTACAGGTTAACTCAGAAATTTTCGTATATATATGTGTGTATGTGTGTATGTGTGTTTGTGTGTTGGCTAGACTCTCCCGTCGTTTTTACGACATATGAGGGTCAAGCAACTCAGTGGGAAACGACAGCCAGACACTTGCACATGATTTGATTATAGTGGTGAAGGCGTTGTGCAGAAACAACCACACTTTTTGAAGAGCCGAATACCTGGTGCACTACGTGCCACAAGGTCCCCAAACGACCCTCCGCAGGTTTTGAATTCATAGTTGTCCTCCTCCTAGACCAGTTGCCATCCAAAACTATAGAAGCCAGTCTGCCCTGCTATTTACCAATAGCTGGGAGAGAAGAAGTGGATTCATACATTTCCCAAGGGTATTAGCACACACACAGAGACACACACATATATATATATATATATATATATATATATATATATATATATATATATATATATATATATATATATAGTCATCCACAGAACGGACTGTTTCGCTGTATCACAGTCCATCAGTGTGGCTAGACGTCTAGTTATATATATATATATATATATATATATATATATATATATATATATATATATTAAGAAATATAGTCTTAAGATGTGCTATATTTATGGGATAAAGTGCTCAATATCAGAGATAGAGGCGTGTGTAAATATAAAAGTGAACATAGAAGTCAACACCTAGAACCGACAGTCTGTTTCATGCTATATGCAATCGTGGCCTGACGATTGCATCTAGCATGAAACAGACTGTCGCCTCTAAGTGTTGACTATGTTCACTTTATTTATATTTATATATATATATATATATATATATATATATATATATATAGAGAGAGAGAGAGAGAGAGAGAGAGAAGGAAAAATTTGTATATCGTAGTTTCTTCAATTGCAATAACAATGTTTACTGTAGTACAATACTTTCTCGACAAATGGCATTACGTTGGTGGCTCTTAGACAGGATGTTGAAATTGCATGTGCAGCAAACCCACTGGACACTTTTGGCCAAAAGTCTAGAAGCTAAAACCCACCATTTTGAGTATCTCTTATGATTGTAGAGTCAAAAGGTAACCTGTATTTATCTTGTGATACCTGAATCGCTGAATTAATATCTGAATAAATTTCGTATTACAATATCTTTACATGTTTTTTCTTTCCTGTGTGGACTTTGTATGTATATATATATATATATATATATATATATATATATAGTACAAGATAAAAAATGGACGAATCCACAGAAATTTGAGTTTTAGTGGATACTCGTATTTGAGTAGACGACCCTTTATTTGCTAAACTGTATATTCATTTATTTTCGTCTACATTCTACACAATTTGGTGTGTTTCTATTATTTTAACATGTTTCGTCCACGAATCGTTGTAGAAAAAAAAAAGACAGAATGTATTTCATCATAATCAACATGACCAGGACAAAACATAAATCTTGTTTTGCAGATGAACGCTAGATTTTTTTCCATTTTCTGTGTCCTTTTAGAGTTTAGATTTTATCCCATTCCAAATCGTCTTTTTTATTACTTAATTATTTATATATTCATTTATTTGAAAGCCTTCGAATCCCACATTGTTTCAGTATTAATTTAGGTAGAACAGACGATAAAAAGAAATAGACCGTTCATATGTTAATCGTTGAGGATTCGTTGACCATGACACTCGTAATGCATTTCGTCTGAATAAATTATACAATTTGTTTGATTAAAATGGCGTATCCCAGGTCAAAGGATTCCGGTAATATAAATTCTTTTTTCTTTTCATTTGACGAGATGATAATCAACACCGATTAGGATTTTGATTTATTTATTTCATCTTTTTCGGTATTACTACTATTTGGTAATTAATTTTTTGCCTTATTTGTTCCTGAGTTGTTAATATATTCGTTATATGGTAGCCATTAAAAAGTGTACACCTTTTAAAATGTTTCCTATATTTTTCTAAAAATTTTGGGCTATGTCGTTTATGTATTTTTTATTCAACTTCGTAGATACTTCTCTGAAATTTGTTTGATATTCACACACACGCGTGCGCACGCGCACACACACACACACACACACACACATATATATATATATATATATATATATATATATATATATATGAAATATTTGGTGCAGTTCAATTTATATTACGATGAATCATTCATACAAAAAATAAATTAGTAAAGTTAATGATATAAAATGGCGAAATCCCTTTGCTGACAAAATTTTAAAGGTGCATTTATCTACAAATCACTCGATGAATGTTATGATTCCTGTTTTTTTTTTTTTAAATTATAAGCTGTATAAGATCTTTCTTTAATACGCAAGTACTTTCGACTGTACATTCAGTCATCTTCAGGTATGGAAATTATTTTGTTTTTGATAAAATTCACGTAGCATCCGAGACGAAAAAATATAATGTGAATCAAAATAAGTTTGTTTTTTTTATGTGTTATTGTTAATGGATACAAATTTTGGGGCGTGCAATCGCAACGCTAAGGTTGAATTGTTTTGAAAATTTAAGTGAGTGCATTTTTTACTAATATGGCAATTTGAGAAACTCAAGACATTATAGAGCTTATATAAATTTGTATCCGTTATCAATAACACATTAAAAATATATTTCGATTCGCATTATATTTTTTTGACTAACTTTTTAATCGTAATATTTAAACGAATATCGGAAGAATATTCCTAAATTGAATTCATAAGCACTGTAATCATTCACCAACACTGAAAAAGATTTTTAACAAAAATAATGTTAAGATCAGCTATAGCTGCGTTAGTAACATCGATAGATTCCAGTAATTATGTTAAATTCTATTTTGCTCCACTGAAAATCCTTGGAAATTTTCGTTTCTACCATCATCGAATGACATAAAATATAAAATGCAAAAACAGCACTGCTCTAAATATTTCTGGCAATTAAAGAATGATACTAATTGGCCTTTTCTCACCTGGAAATAGCAAAAATCTTACAACGGGAAAGAAAATTGATGTAATTTATGTCTTATTGAAAATTATTTATCTTAAAACATTTAAATAACTTCGCTTATTAAACAAAAGAAATAAGTTGATGGTAACATGTAGGCATAAAAATAAA